TTTGTAATTTTAAGTAATATGTACCGAATTACACCTAATAAAGTGGGCCTGTTTTGAGTGCGGGAAAAAAAAAAAAATTAATATCTAATCGAGCAAAAGTTAAAATTTTAATTATGAATCAATTTGAAGAACAAAGAAAAAGATGTATGAAGAATTTAAACAAGCTTTCAATAAAAATTGCTCTAACAATGGATATGTGAATATCAATAAAATAAGAAGCTTTTATGTGTATAACAATTCATTATCTTAATGATCAATAGAAACCTCAAAGTTTTTTATTAGATATAATTTATTTTACAACATGACATACTGGAATTAATATGGCAAATGCACTTTTATTATTACTTGATAAATTTCAATTATCTAATAAAATTATTGAATTAACAATTGATAATGTATCTGCAATGGTTGCATGTATTGTGAAATAGTTAAAAAATTAAATCAATCAGTAAATAATTTTAATTTTGGCCATTATTATTGTGCAGCACATATAATTAATCTCGTGATTCAACAAGGACTTGAATTAGTTGGTTTTTCAGTAAACAAAGTTCAAATTTTTATGTCAAAAATTAAAAATTCGACAATATTTTGCAATGAACTTAAAGCACTATGCAAGATATGAGAAATTAAATATTTAGCACTTGAAATAGATATAGAAACAAGATGGAACAGCACTTTTTATATGCTAGAAACGTTTAAAAATAATGAAATGGCTCTTCGAATACTAATAGCAAATTATTCAGATCTGACTATGAATTTTCAAATAATTCTGATTGAAAAAGAATAGACAATATATTAACTTTGCTTAATCCAATAGAAAAGGCAACAAAATTATTATCTGCTACATGATATTCAACTTTGGATCTTATATATTGAGTATTTTTTGATATAAAAGTTTTTTTAAATTAATATAGTGAAGATAAGTCTTTTAGTGAATCTCGGCTGGCTTTTTTTATGCTACAAAAAATTGATAATTATTGGAATATCATAAGTAATTTATTAATAATACTGATGATACTGGATCCTAGATATAAGCTTGTAGATTTTCCAGAAGGAGAAAAAACTATTTCAGCTATTAATATAATTAGAACAATAATGGATTTATATTTTCTTGACAAATCACCAAATATATCTGATGATATAAATATTACAAATAATAATTCAAAAAATTTATAAGATTTTTTCGTTATTTTAGTTAGAAATAATAATCAGATTCAAAAAATCAATAATAAAAGAACAAATAATAAACTAGATTGATATTTTGCAAGTTCTGTCTCTTTTTAAATGGATCCACTTATATGATGGCATGCACATACTTTAGAATTTCCAATATTAAGCAAAATAGCTCAAGATTATTTAATAATACAAGCTACGAGTGTTCCATGTGGACAAGCTTTTTCCATTGCTGGAAATGTTATTACAAAATAAAGAAATCGTTTGAATCCAGAAATAACATGAGCAAGTTTATGTTTAAAGAGCTGGATAGACAAAAATATTAATTATGTAGAGTAAGAAAAGAATAGTTTCTATTCAAGTATTATGTGCAAAATATTTTAAATAAATGTGCTTTATTTACTTAGCAAATTGTTTTATGATACTATTGTCTATTTTGAATGTTATATATAAAAAAATAAGTTGTGTTGCATAACGTAATCAGTATACATCAAAGTATAGAAACATGAACTTGGATAATTGAGCTTAGTAGTTCAAGGACTATAAAAAAAAAAAAAAAGTAAAAATAGTATATAAATGAGAATAAGTCTTAACTTCTAGACTAGAATTGTAATAAATTTCATTCTTGTTTTTTCGCGATATGTTTTAATAAAGAACCTTATAATTCACCTTAAAGACAAGTGTTTAAACCTGTGTACCTCTAAAGGAAATGTAGCAGAAAAGATTATGCTATCTTGTATTGCCTGTGAATAAGAAGACTGTGAATTATCACTCTGCCAAGTCTAAACACATCTAAGCGAGTTAAAGCCTTACTATTAATTAAAAACGCCTGATGTGTAACAAACAGATGTTTCAGGTTAGCGACTGATTCTTTGTGCATTACAATACTAGTTTGTTATTTTTTTAATGCTGAATATTAAGAATATAATATTGATACTTACCTATATATTTTTCTTATATGTAGATATAAACACTATAAATGAGACCATGGGTCAAACTCAAACCGGGTCTTATTTGACCTGACCTATTACATCATCAATTTGCCCTGGACTGACTTGGCTTGACCCATTACATCATTATAACCTGACCTATTATCTTACTAACCTGACTCTGACCCGATTTGACTCGACCTATTACAACACTAACCATAGGAAATTCCCCAACATATACCTTGCAAAGAATATGATAAATTGACCCTGTCTACCTATTAAACATGTGATAAACATTTAGGTAAGTACCGAAATATGAACACAATTAACAGAAAAAGCTAGAGAATAAGGCACAATATATATTAGAGGCAAATAGCTAAAGTAGATTAGTCAGAAGGCTAGCTTTAGCTGTAGTCTAGTACAAAATGTTGGCACGAGAGTGCCCTTACTTCGTAAGACAGCATATATAGTATATGTCAGAGCGTGAACTTCTTTACGAAGTGGGAAATCTCATTTTAACATGTGATTTTAGCTCACCGAGTTCGCTGAAATTTTGTCACTATGTAAATGTTAGGGACAAAAAAATTTATAGTGACAGTGTTGAATAGCCATTTTTTATTTTTAGAAAGCTGGGGCTTTATCTAGATAAATGTCAGCGTGTTATCAAGGTTTATTAAGATATATCTAACTTCTCTCTGTACGTGCGAAGTAATGATATACCAGATAATTCTAATCAGAAGTTATCTTCAGATTATTTTGATTACATTCAATTCATAATCGATCATAATTCATAATGGTCTTTAGATAGATTTGATCAAGTTAATTTTTCATATTTGTATCAAGGGTATTGTCTTTGGTGTGAACTAAATGATAAAGATCCATTAACTTTCTTTAGTTTCGGTTGTGAAAAAAAGTAAATATATTATGATAGCAAATTAGATTACCCGTTAGTCTTAATGGCAATTACATGGTATACAGTAGGTTACAAAAAAGCTACGTATTGGATTTAATGTCCTAAAAAGAATACAAGGAGTTAAGCAACCTAAATAAGATATTTACTTACAACTGTAACCATCCTGAAATATTAAATTGATATATAATAAGAGGGTAAACCATTTTTGTTATGTTGCTAAAAAATAAAATCGGTCACATTGGCATGTGGCCAGAATTTTAATTTAAGCCACACTCGTATGTGACCAAAATCATAATTGAGATGTTATATCCTAAACTTAAGACATCATATACAGTATAATTATTTTATGATGTCTCAAATTTCTATATTACCACGTGACTATAATTTTAATTTTTTTATTCATTTTCCTTTAATTGACTACAAAATAAACAGCTGACATCTCCAATTTCAGATGCATAGTTTTTATAAAATTTATTAACCTTAGACCAATATGGTATTTATTTTCCGAAGTAATTTTATCATTAGTAGATGAGAGATAATTCTCTCTGAAATACTGTGAGATCAAATTTGATTCTTCCATTCTGTAAAAGTATCATTTAATGAAATAATACCTATCTCCAAAAGTTCATCCCATTTAATATTGATACAAATGATCCACGTTTTTCACTTGAGATAACCATTTTATATAACATATTTATCTATTATACTGTATGTATTACGTATTAGATGTTTATAAAAATTTAAGACATATTAGATTTGATACGATAGACTATAGAATATCCGGATTTATTTGGTGTAAATTGGATTATTGAATAAGTTATGCATATTTTACATGTTTTGGGGGATTTTTGAGTGATATAAAATATGAAAATATGAGAGGGAGACAGGGGCGTGCATAATGCGTTATAATGGTATATTTTAGAGTGTTGTTTTTAAAGGATCTGTTTGTAGCAATATTTGTGACTTGTGTCATTTTTGCGACATGGCACTTCGTATATTAAAGTGTGAGACGTGGAGTCTATCGAGTTCAAAGCGATGTTATTTATATAATTTCACTGTATAGATATTATCCGGAGCATATGAAACAACCGTGATACACATTCGTAAATGTTATTATGACGAAATAATATTCCAAAAATTCATATGCATTACGTACGTGGGGTTGCTAATACGAATGCGCCGATTAAATACCACGGGATGTGCAATTCACAAGATACAGTATAAACTGTTCCCTTAAAGTAATGTGATACCTCATTTTAACTTTTTCTTGTTCACCATTCCGCAATCTACCGATAACATTACACCAAAAAAACATACACTGTATAACTCAAAATGCCCATTACTTCAACTCCTAATGATGTAACCGAAGAAAAGCAGGCTCCCTCTTTAGCTGATGTGGTTAGAATGTTGAATACAGAAAAACTTATCGAATTTTTACGTGGGGAAGGACTTACAATTCAACAATGCTCATTTCGAAATCTTACGCAAGAAGATCACCGGTCGCGCATTCCTTAATACGACCAAGGCGAAATTAGCTATGATATGAAGCGACAGTTCTTACCTATTTCGCCAAAGATGTCAAGAGCACTTGGAAGAGAGCATCCTCGTCTTACCACAGCTTGAGGGAAGTGTTGAACAAGTATGGCCTCGATTTTGACGGCATAGAAGAAATCCCATTGTTCACCCTACCAACCGTTGAGATTCAAGACGGGAACAAACATTCCGCACACCGCATGGCAGAGATTTTGGTATGACTCAAAGATTACGAGTCGTTACTTGTTGACTGTTTAGAAAGCATGCGGAATGAATACGTTGTGACTTTACTCCATTCTGCCCTCCATATCGTACGAGGCGAAACGCAAAAGGATTTCAGTATGAGACCTCAACAACAAGAAATAGGTGATGAAAGCGCGGGGAAAGTTTATTATGCCACCAATGTAATGACTTTTTTTTTGTTAGTTTGCACTCCGTAGCTACACAAGTAAGTTTGATTTGCGAAAAGTTACGCTAAATAAAATTCTTATTAGGATTCCGAGGACCTGATTTGCATTGATTAAGGCGAACAGCATAAAGTTCTAATGGGAATGGCGCAAAATAGAAAGCAACTAGTAACGAACAAGAGAAAACGAAAGTGAAATGAGGATGATGACTTCGACTATCTATATGGGATTTTTATAAAAGTATAAATCTTTTGGTTAAAATTTTCTAACGATTTCATTACTAACAATTATTCGTAAAATTACAGGGAGAAACTGGCATTTTTTGCTATATATTCCAGGGCAGATCTCGCAAGGTAGCAAATTGCATTACACCATCGAATTTACTGACGAGGCATTAAAAAGCGATTCGGAGAAATTTCACGCATTGTGAGAGAGTGTGAAAAAGATATTGAGTGTTACGTATTGTGAAAGATAGAGGTGTGTTGAAAAATCTCCAGCTAGAAAAAGAGCTAGGGTTGATAGATATCGTGTCAAGAAATGATGTATCCCTTGTAATTTATTTTTTCATTAACAAATAAATGAATTTTTAACGTGTAAATAATCAACCGAGAAATGTAACCCCGATAATGAAAGTAATTCCGGGTTGCATATTTAGTAAGACTTTCCGAACGATTTTATATGCAATAATTGTCTAAAAAGTATATATATATATATATAAGGGAGACGAGAAATCAAGAGAAATTTTTTTCCAAAATCCATATGCTATTAAAACTGCCCATATTCAGGCACACACATTGAATTTTCTAAAATCGTACTAGGATTTCTCAATGAGATGGTAGACATCCCGACATTAAGTAGTTGCCACAGTAATGGGCAAATTTATCAGTTCCACTTCGAGCATTTACGGTACTCTCCTGTGTCCATATACTTCATCAAACTTGCATTCAGGAAATTATCGAGGGAACTGAAGCAAATGTCCAGTATGTAAACTGCGCATCGAAATTATCTAGATGAAGGCGACAGTAAAGCCTATCAACGAACGCAATCAAATACTGTAAAATAATAATAAAGATGATCAGACTCCACCGCCCGAATAAAGTACAAGGTTTGGTAACCGAACTATTCACACCCACTAAAGGCGAATCTGACGAAGCCGATGAGAATGTGATACCTGATGGATACAGTAATTATCCTAATGTTTGGCCCGGTTATACCTAAAAGCAAACGAATCAGAAAAAACGCGTGACTTTTGCATATCAAGGTGAAATTTAGTGTTGGTATTACTATGCGGGAGGTTTTAAAAAACGAGTTAAAGAAATTATGAATGGTGACAATAGAATCGGTAATGGTCAGGCAAGGTCTCAGGTATATAGTGAAATGACAGTCCATCTTCTAAACATAACTAAGGACATTTTACGAAAAAAGACTCAGAAGGCGAGAGCCATCTATACATTGTTTATTCAGATTAGAGCGAAAAAAATCAAACGAATTCAGAAATATAGGGCAAACACAATTTCGATAATTTCTCATAGGAGTTTTGGCGATCGTGAATGGTTGTTCACGCAAACGTGACTGATTGTGCGCCTGAGCGCTCTCATGAATTACTCACCGTGACCATTGCTGTACATTTTGACTGACCTCGTCCGCGATTATCTTCCCTATAATTAAGTTGTCCTATCTCAACAAATTTGTAGATATATGCAAAATTGACTGCTGAACATTTTTACTTAGAACTGCAAAGTCGATTGTTTTAATAATATTTTGCGTAATTAACGTTCGAGTTTTGTGTAACATGTGTTGTCAATGCACTGCGCGAACATGTTGAGCATTCGCATGATTATTGTGTGACGGAATGTTTCAGTTTTGCGTTCTGACGGTCAATATCAAAACTTGTATCTGTTCCTGTACCTGTACTTAACAAATATGACAAGTCTATTACGTAAATGGTGCTACGCTGAATAACGTAGCGGTAAGCGAAGGTGTTTAGATTTTCTATTTTTCTTCAAGGCAGGCAGGATTGTGTTACTTATCGTCGAAAAATAGACAAGTCCAGTGCAACGGAGGTTTCTTCTTCTAGTGGTCCGGTGAGGGACGTCAATTGGTATCGCCAGCTTTGGTGGAACACTGGCAACTTTCACCTCAAAGCTAAGTGGAATGAGGCGACGTAAGTCTCCTATTTGCTTCGAGACTCGATATTTTATAAGCTAGTGACTGATATCAATTGTTATTTATTGCAAAGTCTACTATATATGCTCAAGACTGGCGTGAAGTTAGAAGATTTTATTTTTCAAACGACGAACATAATGTGAAGGGTTTCTGGGAATGGGAAAATCAAACCGTTCGCGTTGTCAAATTTCCGTCATCATTTCTCGAGAGTACTGTCTTAGAAATTGTGAGGAGCTTGAGCGAAGCATTTGCTATTGTACGGCGCACTGCTTTTGACGTTAAATTTGAAGGATCGCTGAGTGAGTGTATTAATTCTTTTCTTTACGCTGATCTATTCTAATAGTCTATTACTCACCATAAAGGAACAAAAACAACTGGAGGAGTAAAGAGCCAGATGCATCTCTTCGACCTTTTGGAAAACGTCCAGCGCATGGTGATGGATATGATGGAGCGGTATGATGTGTTTTTATTTGGTGTTGTGATTGTATTGAACTACTAATATTGGTGGAAACATATATTCTTAGAACAAACCCTGGCCCAATCTCATAGTAGAGGTCGCTTATTCCCAAGAAGAATGAGATCTCAAAAGAAAAGTAAAAGATTATTTGCTCTCTCCCAATAGAGCTCACGATGAAATCGCTATCAAGTTAAATTACATAGCGGATGATAATCCTCCAACGGAGATGACGGCAAGAATGAGATTATTTAATTCCAATGCAATTCCCTTGAAACCATTTAAATGATGCTTATTATTTAATAGGCTTGGCACTATTGTATAAATAACCGGACAGCAAGTGGTGCATTCGCTCCGTAATGGTATGTGTAATATACTTTTTTGGCACAGGATTAAATGAATTTAATATTTTCTCTATTCAGTATGAATTCGGAACGATTGACCGTCAAAGCAACCCACTTGCCATTGAACCGGGGCAATGTGTAATAAATATCCCTCTTGCATGCACTTACGACGGAATGCCAAATAATTTCGTCATTCCCTCACCTCCCCTACCTAACCATATTTTTATCGATCTCTTTTATGTTCGGTTTAACATTTTAAATCTCTAAAGTGTCATCCTATTTTTCTTTCTTATATCGCGACCTACCCGAGTTTTATTTCGATGCATGTCCTTTTTTAGCTGCTATTATTTCTTGCCTCATACTTCCCATGAAAATGACTTTGTATATTTACTACTACTCTTATTTCCTAATACTGAATACAATCGAAAAAAATAATAAATAAAATTATTTCTGCATTTGACACCGATAAGTTGAGAATTTTTCTATTGTGGCTCCACATCTGGAAAAGTGACCAATTATATTTAAGTAATCCATGTATATACGACAAAAAACCTTTAACATATTTGCATCATGTATGAACAATGCCAGATACTCAATCAAAAATCGATTCGTTACAAGAATTAATTCGAAGCTTTTAGCCGAATTTTCTGAGTTTGGGTAGGAGAATGCTGAGAATGCAAAGTTAGGATAAAGAAGAAATCGAGGCCAAAATCGTGGGTTTAGAACAGACCAAAGAAAATGTCGAGATCAAGGCCAAATTCGCGAAATTGGAACAGTCTGAAGAAGAAAATAATAAGCTTAAGGCTAGAGTCACGAAATTGGATAGTAGTACAGAACAATATTTCTTACGGTACCTGTCAATCCAACTCCTCGTCTATACTACCAGAATATTAAGAGGTCGATTATTTTATGGATTTGATGAAAAGGTTAGTAACGAGATAAGAGATAGAAACAGAGAAAAAAAGCCTCAGCAAGAATTGGCTTTAAACGAAACCCAAGACTTAACGTAATTTCATGTCATTACATCCAAAGATATGAAGTCAACCCAAATTAATCATAATACAAAAACTGTTTCCTAGGGGAACAATTAAAATCAATATTTTAATTTATTGAATTTAGGTCAAAACATTTTAAAACTCCATACTTTATTATAGGCAGCAAATTATTACTATTAAATTACTAAAACACAGAACACTATAAAAAAGAATAGGTTAAAAAAGGAAAAAAGAATATTTAAAGTACATAATTGCATAAAAAGAAGGAAAAATTAATAAGAAAAAAAATGGTTAATTTTTTTAATGATTTACTTTTCAAGATTTTTTCTAATAAGCAAAATATTTTGCTTATAAAATCATTTAAACAATTACTTATTTTGATTAAATCATCTATTTATACTTTTATAATGGCTTTTGTCTAATATTAATCTTTATGCTATATCAATATAATAAAATAAAAAGAGACTATTATTTAAACTTACCTAGTTGGAATTATAGAAGCAAAATATTTTAATTTAAATAATTGCAAATTTTTTACTATATAAAAACTTGTTTATATTTTATTATAAATCAATTTAATTAAAAAATAACATATAAATATGATATTATTTATTTTTCTTGCTAATAAATTTATAGTCAATAGATACTTGTTTACATTATTTATTAATTTATTTTATTTTAATCAATGATTATTAGCAAGATCTATATTACTAAAAAATAGAATCAAATCGAGATAGACAAAATTTATCAAAAAGAAATAATTATAAGAAAGTAAAAATAAGATATAAAAAGTTTTTAAAATTTATATTTATATTTATATATTTTCTATTAAAAAGGATCTTTATATCATATCAAAAAAACTCTTTCATGTAACTATTCAAAATTTTAAAATTTTCTTTTTGAAAATTTTTGAAAAAACAGCAAGAAAAGATGTCTTTTCACAATGAAAACCTCAAAACTGCAACTAATATCCCAAAAAAAAAAAAAAAAAATAAAGTCAATGTTCCATGGAGAACCTAATCATATACAATAAGCTTAACTTAGAAACTAACAAGTCTCAAGCTACTCATCAAGTAATAAATAAACAACAAACTGAACCATCCCAACCAAAAATATATCAAGAAGTTCTAAACTCAATTACTAAACCTGCAGAACTGAATAGTTAAGCAACTATATCTTCTTTATAAAGTGATCTAATAGAGCAAAAGAACAAACTATAAACTTACAATCAACCAACCCAAGCTGAAGAATTCAATACCTCTAGAAATAAAATGGTAAGAATAGATAATACAGATAAAGAAATGGATACAGAAGGCTAGAAAAACTCAGAAATTGTATTGTTTACAGCAAAAAAAGGAAAAACAAAACAATATCTCTGCATAATGGAAGAGCAAGGCCCAACTTTCCCTTCGACAGATTAATCAGATATGACAAAAAAAGATATAAAATAAGAATTTTGACTAATCTAGTCAAAGACAAAATAATTCATCAGAAAATCAAACACATTATTATGACACTCAACTCTCTAGAAGGCTTTCTGACAGTACACAGTAAGAAAAAAAATAAGGAGATAAAAATCATTACTATTTTTGATGACCTACAAGCTGCTTAACATACCATTACTATCAATCTATTAAATATAGACAATACAAGACTATTAAATATGAAAACTGGATGCAAATAATCAATAAGAAAAATTCAGTTGTGGTATAAGATATCCTTCTAAATACAAAATTCAGAAGTTAAACAAACCTTTATCAAATATAAAGAAGTCCAGAGCATTACTATAAAAACCAAAAACCTTTGACAATACATCACTATTGTCTTCATAAATAAGATCACCAAAGACAAACTAGTGGACCTCGGAAGTATACTCATTAAAGAAGACTCAGTTAGAATCAATAGTATAGAATAGTTATTTACACAAATAAAACAAAAACATAAAATCACTGCTAAACTTATCAATTTTTTTCAAACACCTTAGCATGGGATCTCAAATATATTCTCTTATAATATAAAGAATGCATATATTATATTTCAAAAATTATAGTAACAGCATACAGATTCAAAAGATTTGAAGTTACCAGATTTGACATACAAGAAAATCTACTCGAAGCTAAAGATGGATTCCTAAAGGGGGAGGCAGGGACATAAGTCAAATGTTCCTCACTAGGAAACATTAAAATTTTTAAATTAATAACTATAAAAAAACTACCCACAATTGTTCTCCATTATCCAAATCATTGATTTATAGCATTTCATGATTTTTGTCCCTATTGAAGGGAAGAGTTATGAATTTTGTTCCTCAAAAAAGGACATAAGTAATTTGCAAAATTTATATGCTAAATACTTTAGGGACCCATCATTACTCGAAGCAATATAAATAAATATATCATGGGAAAAACCAAGTTCTCTTTCACTCCAATCTCTGTCAAACTATATACAATCTGTAACTTAACCTTATATCTAGCCATAAACTGTCCAAACAAAACCAATGATAACAATAAAATGATTATAATAAAGAACTGTCTTCAAATTTGGAACCCTCTATAAAAAATTCTGATTAGAAAAAATAATAACAATATATAATTCAATAAACCCAAACACTAGAGAAACATAAAATCCAGCTTCTATATTAGTGCAGTTTGCAACTAATCTATAAGTCCATAAAAAAGCTTATTATTACTCACAAAAATCTCTGAACTTCTTAGAAAAATCTATTAGAAAATTTAAACAATAAGAATGCAACTCACAGAAATTAATAAACATATCATTAACTTGAAACTCTACAATAAAGAGTACTATAAAACAATAAACAGTAACCAATCCAACAATTCAATAGGTAATCTTTTACTCTAACTCCAGTTACAATCAATTTTCCAATCATCTGATAATAATATCAAAGATATAAAAAATCACTAAACACAATTTTTTTTTCATTAGATGACATGCAAAACAGTATAAATCAAATTGTCACACCTTTGATACAGTCACCAAGCTTTTATCACAATACATCTACCATCCCAAAATTAAAAATGTGTATAATACAAAAAGTAAATAACAGTATATATACAATATACTATTGTTTATTTACACTAGACTATTACCTACTTATAAGTATATTGTTATTTACTTATTTTATAACTATCTATTTTGACTTCTAATAAACTTGATATTTGCTTTTTTTCAATAATTTGATGATATATAGATTGCATTTGTATTGCCATTCAAGAACCACTAAGGCATATGCTGATAATAGGTTCAATGTGCCATGACTTGACTTGTAAATTGCATTTGACATATTATTTTAATGACAACTGTGGCTAATTTTTGTTATCAGGTCATATGTCAACTATTGTATACTAGTTTGGCAACCATATCTAATTCCCGTCATTGGCTCATATTGATAAAAAAATATATCTGATGATATATCCAATTATATATCATCATTTGTAAGCCTGATGTAAGAGCTATGCCCAAACCTGACACATAGTACTAAAATAGTATCTGTATTCTGGCTTTGTACAATGCATTCAAATATCAATTAAGGACGAGACACATAGTGCCAAATTGCTAAAATTGTTATTTATTTGAATATCGATTAAGGATAAGATATATAGTAATGAATTGCTAACTATTATAATATATTTGAATATTAATCATAGATGAGGTACATAGTGCTAAATTGTTAGCAGTTGTTAGCTTTGCATAATTTATTTGAATATCACTTAATAATAAGGCACGTAGTGTCAAATTATTAACAGTTGTTAGCTTTATATATTGCACTCAAATATCAATCATGGA